TACGATTCGGTTGAACTGTTTATCGAATTATTAACGAAGAGAAAATTTGAGCGAAAATGCCTACAATTTTCATACGTTTACGTCTATGTCATCTATGGGGAAACAATTTTTGAAATTTACTTGCCGAATTTTTATTGAAATATAAAACGCAAAATGTTTCTTGTCTTTTGCTTCATTTTTTTGTTCTAATTATTCGAAAATTTCCTATTTGTCAATACTGCGAATGACAAGCAATTAATGTTACATCTTAGCAAGCGAAAACATTCGTAACATAAAATTAAAAGATCATATTATCCATTAATTTGTATGAATCGATCCACATTTTTCTTGTTTTGATTTTACAACTTGGTTTCACAAAATTTTGAACGCAACCTTCAAAGTATGCTAAAAATTACGGTGAGTCAATGTGCCACACGTACGTGGAAATGAGGTATGGCTGTTATCAGCTTCAGATAAGAGTCAAGAATGAACTACAGTTGTGCTATCTATTAACATTGGAGTTCCAGCCTTCTTTGAAGTTTCGAGATCCTATAGCTCTCTCTATGTCGATTAAATTATTGTTTTCCAATTTTACTGAGTTTATTCTTTATTTCTATATAATACCAAAATGAATAAAACCACGTATAGGGATTATTTTTTCTTCCATATTAATAATTTGATAATGACAGTAAATAAAGAAATATTATTTACACTGGTTCAATAAACGTTAATCATATATGGATAAAATTCAATGTAAAATAAAACGATTATTCTTCTAATTTTTTATGTATTAGAATATCGTCCATTTTATATTATAAATGATATAATGTATGAAACGACGGTATGTTTTACCATAAAATGATAATAAGTTATTAAATAAGTAAATGTATCTTTAATTATACTGTTTATAATTTCTTCTGATTTACTTTCATAAAAGATTTTATTGTAATAAATATTCTCACACAAATACTTTTCGGTAAAGTTCACTCTCTCGAAAAGCAAATTATGCAATCATTTATACAGCGGAATATTTATAAAACATTTCAATTTACTACTTAATTACGAATAAAGAAAAAATGTTCAAAGATTTTCGACGGAGATAATTATCAGCTTAATACCATTTTTTAATTATTCTGTTTTTATATCATGTGTTCCTTTACAATTAAGTTTTTCTAAAATAGTAATGTTAATTCATAAATGTTTATTATTTTGAGTAGGAAATTTGAGAGAAAAGTAAATGCAACAGTTCAATGAGAGTAATCTCAGAAATAGAATACTTTTGTTTATTGTTAGAAACGTACGAGAAAAAGCTTGATCACAACACTGTGAGATAATCAAATTCAGCGAGAGCCTTGGGATAGGTCAGTGTTACGTTTACAAATCCGTTTGATTTATTTTGGATGTTTAGCTCGTAATACAACAACAAAAAAACAAAACAATCGAATGTAACATTAAAATTTGATAATAACAATTGCTCGCGTTAACTTTCAATCAAAATGAATGTTTGAATTGATTTACTTTCTGTATTCTTCCGGTTCATGCAAGAAATTTGTTAACTGATTTGTATTAACTAAATTAGATAGCAAAAACATAATTAAAAGAAGCTTTAGCCATTTATGGCTTATAAATATTTGTTAAAGATATTTTTCGAATTCGAAAGACAAAAATATTGTAAAAAAATAAATATTTGATATAAAGAAATTAAATTTTGATATTTTGATAATTATATAATTAATATTTGTATAACTGTTTATGGTAATATTAGTATACATATAATGGCATTACATGATTTATATTAAAATAATCACAATTTTTAGTATAGACAGCATATTATTAATTCAGTATACTATTTCCAGGTAATATTTCATTATAGCTCAATGCATACAACCTATATTATATACTAAATATTTGCATATATATAAGAATATTATAATATTTAAACAAAAGGAAGACTAGAATTACTTTAGACATAAAGTACTATATATCCAACTGTATAAATGACATAAAAAGTTTGGGCCACACCTTAAAATTAATTACAGAATTAATATTAAAAAAACCCCAATTTATGCATATGAAAATACATAAATTAATATGATTGTTATTTATATCAGATAATGCTAAATGTATATGACTGTTGCACAGGCCATAGTCTTACAAATTTCTGTCGAATAATCCATACACAAATTTGTGTGTGTGTTTGTGAAATATATTAATATTTATAATTTATTTATATACTTATATAAAACAAAATGAAAATTATGCATTCTTATTATTTGTCTTAGCTGTACATTCCAGTTCAATCTTTTTAAATCAAAGCAAAAAAATCTTACAAAAATCACTTCTAGTTTAAATTTAAAAGTATTATGCTAACTTTATACTTTGTATGCATGTATATGTGTGTACATATGTGTATATATATATATATGCTCAGTTCTTTGTTTACAATATAATTTTCCATCTAAGTGATAAAAAAAGAAATACTTTTTAATTTAAATAAAATCTACTGAATAGTATCAAGATAATGATAACTTAATTTTGATATCTGATACAATTAATTTTTCTTTTTTCCCATTGATATTAATCTAATGAACAAGTAGATTGATAAGATATTTATAAAAAGAAATATAAAAATTAATTAATATCAGAAGTAAATCATAAAGAATTAATTATAAGCATATTTGCATTTGGAAAGAATGTTACTTACCATATAATTCAGAATAATTATACTTTTTATATTATTGTTATAAACAACAAATATATATTTATAAATTAAATAAATAATTTGTAAACAAATAGAGATTGCATAATGATAAAATAAAATTTTACTAAAAGCGTTTATACGCTGACAGACTGCATGCAAAAAAATAAATATAGCATTTATAGTAACTCTACAATTAGTACACAGTAGTTTAATAGTAAAAAATTAATGTTATCAATAATTATAGAATTGGTTTCTTTGTAATTGATCTTAATTTCTGCTCCATTTGAAATAAAAGGATGAGAAAGAAAACTTTATCACTAAGGCTTATCATCAATCTTTTATGATCTATTTGTTATATTCCCCTCAAGAAAACTAATCAAAAAATGAATCATTGGCTTTTATTTGACAGTATTAGTAATGGAAAAAGATAAAATCTATCAAACTCACGTAAATGAGGCCGGAGTAGTATCTGTCTTTGAGGTTATGCAGTACCGAAGCTTCATTTAGGCACGTTAATTCAGCCATGTCTTCAACTTTATCAAATTTCGGTGGATTCATCTTCTGAATATCATCTTTCGCGACAAGGACCCGTTTTCCAGTTTCGGCAATCTCCACTTCGACCTCATCACCCCGTTCACCCTTTATCCCGGCTGCAACGAAACCCTGAGTTTCGTGAGGCACCCAAACCAGCTTTTTCTGCGTCCATTCCGCCTGAGTTGCAGGATCATTGAAATTATTCCTGTCAACGGAAAGGAACCGCAATTCGGGATCCGAATGATCCACCCTCGAGTCGACGTCCGCCATTTTTGTTTTCGAGATCACTAGCTCCTCGAGCCGGCTTCAGGGACGAGCGATTCCAAGGACGATCCTCGACAGACTGACCTCTTCGTAACAAGGACACACATGTAACTATTCAACACTCGTTTTCCCGTACTTTTCGAGTGTCTATTGTCTAGTGGTGGTTAAGACAATCTGAAGTTGGAGAGTTTTGGACGATTCGTAGTTCGTTCTCCTTCGAGGCACCGTGTTCTTCTACCACCTTTAACGCTCTTCGAGATTGTTTTCTTTCTCGCTCCTCGCGGCCATCTTCTTTTCTCCTTACCATAAAATGATGGTGGGGTTCTGTTTTCAAGGTAGGCTGCGTAGTAGCGCTCATGTCGCTATATGACGCGTCTCAATAGAAAATTGATTGGTTAGCAGGTAAATATATTAACGCAGCAACCAATCAGAAATATTTCGTATACCATGAAAAAGAGTATTGGTTTAGACCATAGGTGAGGTATCCTTATTTCATTCTTTTCTATGTCCTGATTTTAAATATACACCTGACGAATCTTAACCGACAACTCATAGTAGCGCAATTGAAATGAAATATAAATATATCGATGATACACAATTTAATTATTCCCAAAATGTTTTTATAGAAATTTCTCTATTCGTTTGTTATATAAATTATATTTTTATTTCCTAAGTTTACAACATAAAGACGTCTAATTATATCATATAATATATTAATTTACAGTGTTTTCCAAACTAAATGATATTTTACTTTTTATGTAAGATCCGTATTTAATATAAAAATAATAGTGGTAAAATAATACATTGTTTTTTACATATAAAATTTCTATTCGAAAGTTACAATAAAACAATGTAATATTTTAATAGAATCAGTTGATAATTGATTTAATTGTTAGGGATTCTCTATTATACGTATTTAGTATAAAGGAATCTTGTTCATTTAAAATTATGTAGATATATTTTTGATGACATTTTTTATATACGCCTATATATATATGTACGTAAAATGTAAATTTATTAAAATTCTTTGAAAAATTATTTACTTTCCATGAAATTTAAACCGTAATTAGATATTTTTCAAAGATATATGATTTACATATATTTTTAATATTTAATAGAAAAAATAATGTAAAGAGATGACGATTTTTAAGATTGAATTTCTTTTCTTTATAGTCTTCTTTAATATATTAACAGTAAATATTCTTGTTATTTCTACTTTATAAAGTGACTTATTAAGAAATATGTTAAATTAATAAATTATGTAACTAACTTTATTTATTGCAATAGATAGACTTCTTGCTTGTTTTGTTTATAAATTATATACATATATACACAAATAATTTGTATAAATTTAAAGAAACTATAAACAAATAAACAAAATTTGTTTATTAAACACAGGTATATAATACTTTTTAAATTTAAAAGTTCCTATAATTTATCTAACGAGACAAGGGAGTAAACGTAAACAAAATGAGATTACTACGGCTGCAACTATTGGTCAGACTGATGACTCTCGATTGTCACTAGTTGGCGACCAATAGTTGCAACCGTAGGAATTACATTTTGTTTGTAGTTGCTGCCTTGTCTGGTCGGAGCAACTGTAGAATATTCGTTATTAATTTTTTTTTTGTATGGTAATAGGAATACAAAGGAAGGTACAATCGGAATGGGATCGCACGGTAAAATATCGCCTGTGTGCGTTCAGGGTAACGTTATCGGTAATAGTCAAATATAAATGAATTCATGAAGTCATAAAAATAAACATATTTAATTTTATGTTTTACATAATGCAATATGTAATCTTGTGATAAATATTCTTTAACTTTTCTAGCAGGAAGGTAAAGTGCCAAAAGTGTAATAAAGTATTCTACGCAGAAACATTGTGTAATAGAACGTGAAACGTGCACGATCAAATTTTTGGCTAGTATAAAACGATATTAATAATATCAACGATAGATGTAATACGTTAAAGTAAGGATATCATAGTTGTTTTTATCGTTCTGTATTTTTTGTTGTGAATTTAATTTTCTTTCATATCTAATTTGCAATTTGCAATTAAATTGTGTTAACTTATAAAATTTCTTCAATATAATAATTTACACAGCAATATATATATATTTGAAAAGGTATATAATTTTATAGTTGAAACATGTATTATGATAAAGGTTATTCATATGCAACTTATGACAAAGATAAGGTAAGAATAAGTATGTATATAAAATTGAACCAAACTTTAGGGGATCAAAAATTATTGATTTCTTTTATATGCAATCCTATAGTTTTTGATGCATAGAATCTACTGAAATGTAGATTTAAAATTATGGAATAAAGTGGTCCAAAAGCTAGGAATCTATAAAACTAAGTATTTTAGGCTATTTTAAACGTTACTTTGATGCTATATTGAGCTATATATCTGTTTTCTCCAATGAGTGAAATCTATGAAGGCACTGAGTGAACATGGTTGAGTTAAATCATATGTGTTTGGCTACACGTATTTTGAATATGTTTGGTTTTTTGCCTTGCATGACTCAAGGCAAGCCCATAATAGTTTTTAAATGTGTCCAAAGTATTCACTTTTTCTTTTTGTATTGTTACGTTTCATCTGGTTTAATTTCTTTTTCCTGTCATTTTGAAATTTTTCTTGTTTTATTTTTTATTACTCTTTATTCCATATAGAATAGTCAATCACACCATGGAATTTATAGGTAAGTGAGGTTGATTATGATTTGCGATAGTATCTGTTTTCTAACTATTGCGGCCAGTTACATTAATACAAAATAATTCTTCGCGAATTTAATTACAACAAATATCCTAAAAAGTTTTTAGTTATAATTTTTGATTTAGTGGATTCTGCAATTTAAGACTTGCATTTTCAGATTCCATGCATTGAGAATTATAAGATTGCAGACAAAGAGGTCAATAATTTTTGGTCTCCTAAAGAACAACCTACGATTCTTTCAATTTTCTGTTTGATAAAATATAATAATCAAATCTTTTCCAGGTAGTAGTTGTTGATCTTCGGAGTGATACTTTAACAAAACCAACCCAAAAGATGAGAGAAGCACTATCCAGTGCTGAAGTTGGTGATGATGCTTTTCATGAAGATCCAACAGTGAAAGGTATGAAAATGTTGTTCTGAAATATTATGTTTAGTATTAACACATACACACACATATATATGATTTTTTATTTATAAATTAAATATTTTAATTGCTTTGTAAAGTAACTGTAAGATAATACATTAAATAACCAAGAAAGTTTATGATATTTTAATTAATAGAGATAAACCTAAAAGTGGCACAAACTTTTTTGCCTACATGATATAATTATTAATATCAATAATATAATTATTACATACAATATTATTAACAGTAAATAGGTTTTGTAAAGAAGTTTTTGGTTTTCAGTATTACAAGAAACAGCTGCCAAAATGGTTGGAATGGAAGATGCATTATTTGTATGCTCTGGAACTATGGCAAATTTAATTGCAAGTAGGTATAGCAGATTATATGCACATTAAGTTGCACTTTTATTCAAAGTAGTACAAGTTTTATTAATTTCATTACTTAGCTTAAAAGGATATTAATTCATAAACAATACTGTTAATTCAAATTGTTATGTCTTTAATGTAGATTTAAACTTTATTAATAAATAAGAAACATTGAGTGGTATCTAATTGTACTTTCTTAAGTATCTAACATAAAGAAGATCAATTTTATATTTAATGATTATTTGTAAAAATATAAATATTTCCAACTCTTTAAATGATAGGTATATCATTGAATATAGAGCTATAGATCATGGATGCATATAGTATGCATGTAAACACTGGGAATGTTTGAAATTTTATTTGATTTTTATATAGTAATATAGTATTATAAAAAGCTAAAATTATAATTTAAGTATGAACTTTAGATATAATTTATACCTTACAAATATAAGGAATAGAAATTTATGTTCTACATGCTGTGTTAGAATCTACAATGTTTAGCAATTAAAGAATTCCTTATATTGCAACATAAATATTCTCTTTAATAACAGTAGCTAACAAATTAATTTTGGTAAATATATATCACATACATACACATTGCATGTATATTATAATCACGTTGATAGTAATAATTGTCTACTATATTTCCTACTATTTTCTATGCAAATTAATATTTAGATTATATACTCATCTCAGTCTCTGTGTTGTATCTATTATTTCTTCCACTTAATTACCAGTCTAATTAAACTTTGATCTAATTGTAATTTCTTCAAGAATGTTTTTATCTTTAATTGCAACAAATACTTTTGTTTTCATACAAGATGCTTTATTTATATCTTATAAAGGTGTTGGTATGTAGCTATATTGGTAGAATGAAAAAAAGAGAAAAGGGCTAGGATTGTATATTATACTTTTTCTTTTCAAAAAAAGCATTATACTTTACACTACTTTTAAGCTACATATGATATATTTCCAAGACTATTCAAATAATCTTTCTATTTTCATATTGATATATAAAAATCATCACTTTTTGTTTTACAACATGGTATTAGTATCAGTTATATAATTCATGACAATTACATATATAATAAACATATTATTATAAAGATACTTATAATTATAATAAAGATAATAAATAAACAATAAGTAAAGATTTCTTTTATTTTATTAGAGATTTTATCAGAAATATTGTAATTAGATACATATGTAATTTTTTATTCCAAACGTATATTTTTTAATTATGAATCTTAATTAGAATTAATTAGAAGATTACTACAACTTTTTTAATTGTAATATGCAGAAGTTAATTACAAATAATTGTTACAAGTATTTGAAAAACTCTAATAATGAGATATCATTGTAATACTTGATCTCACAACAGTTCTTAGGGAAAGATTTATATTTCAGAAGATAAATGGAGAAACTTTACTCTTAAACTATTTATCATCTATTCCTGAAACTAGATATAATTAATGTTTTTCAATCAATACTACTGTGCAGTTCTATCAAAATGTTAAAACTATACTTTGAGAGTTCTTCTTAGGAAAACAGTTTTTACCTTATGACCAAATTCGTTCTCAATATTTTGTTGTTAAATATTTGATTAATATATATAATCGAGTTTAAGAGAAATTGGAATCTTTATCCTTTTATTCATGTTAATTTTTCATAGAATATAAGTGCAATATTTATAATACAAATAAAACTACAAACATAATAGAAATACAAAAAGATACGTAATAAATATAATAGTTAATTTAGAAAAAATATATGAGGCAATATAAATAGGTTTGATGAGTACTCACGTATTGATCAATCCATATATTATACTAGATAGCATATATTTTCATAAAGTATAAGATGATATGAGAAACCCGATAAGCTTCGAGTAAAGCATTCAAGGCAATGAAGCATGAATCAACAGCCGTTTGTAGTGACTCAGAAATGCAATTTTTTCATAGTAAAACATAGTCAAAGCAGATAGTGTGAACAAAAAAGGCACGATACGTAACTACGTGCTATTGGATTAATACTAAACGTCGTTGATTCGAAGATTAAGTTCGTTGAGGACGAGACAGTTATACCAATTGCAATATTTTCAATATTTTTTTGCATGTCATCTAATAATCTAATGTTTCGAACTTTTCGAAAAATTCAAGTCGTTCAGACCAACTTTAAAGCGATTATTCTATTTTAAGGCTTGTTCGAATATTGTTACATGAACCACTGTAAGTCTAGTTGTTCTTAGTCGGTGATCAAGATGGTGTGATATATACAGGCTGAATATACAGGGTGATTCGCCAGATATTACGACTTCGATTTACGTGATTGTCACTATTTTCAGCGATAAATGTTTGGATAGATGTTGAATGGTTTCGAAGGGTACATATTCTGATGCTATTAGATTTTTTGTAGGTGGACGCATTAAGGACCTATAAAGAACAACTTTGATTTTTTAACACGTTGATTGCCACGCGTGTTTTCAAAGAAATCTCCGTCAGGCCACGCGTACAGCAGTACCAAGCGTTCTCTGCTAGGTGCTCCCATCGATATTTTAGTAATGCGAATCGCTCAAGTGGTGGTCTCAAGAATGATCTTTCGTTTCATTTGTTCGCAATATTAAAATCACTAGCTGTTGTTGAATATAATGAAGGAAAGTGTGGTATAGATTGTTCCGACCAAATGGTTTCTTATGCCACCACAATTAGAAAAGGAAAATCAAATGGTACAGAAAATTTGGCATTTAATGCTTTCTGGGAATTTCTGTTGTAAACGCTTTGACGGTTGCAACAAGAAAAATTGCAACAAGAAAAAATATAAATATTAGAATATTTAGACAATTGTTAGTTGCAAAATTATTAGGGTTGTCTGAAAATACAAAAAATCCTTGTCTTTGACGGAGTCAGCATAATATCGTTCGAAAAAATGATTCTGGAAGAAGCATTTGACGCGCATGCAAACTATGTTATGCAAATAAAAGACGTCGAATGGACCGAACAAAGACACAAAAGAATTTGAAGAAAACAACTTTGCTGACACCCGAATACGGGTGTCGTGGCAGTCAACGTATTAAATGGTATTATGCATTTTTTTAATGCACTAATATATGCAGCTTGTCATTTCCTATACGAAAGTATTAGCCTATTTGTATCGAAAAGTTATTAGTTTTACCAGATATTTTAACCTTAGGTTGTTAAATTTAATGCGTGTGTATATCGCTTACATTGCTTTATCAGAAGAATATTTAAAACAGACAAAAATGTTGCTTGAGACTTTTGCATATGCTTGAGAATGTATAAAATAGTGATCAACACAATTAAATGCTATTTTGTAAATTAGTGGTAAAATTTTTTGGTTATTTGATGATTCAGAAAGGTATGCAAATACTACTTAAGAAGCAATTAGGACGTCATCAACATGGACAAAAAATATAGCTTCTGTATGTAAGAATTATAATAGTCAGTTAAAATCTTAAATCGTTCCACGATTCTTATAATTACATCAAGATTATAGTCTAATTATTACTACTAATTTGAAAAATATCCTAACTGTGATTTTGTCAAATTTAGTGTATGAAAGATAGGAAGCACATAAATAAAAAGTATTGCTTTGCATTTTTCCCTATAAGGTTCAAAATATGAATCATAGAAACGTACTTTTAACAAAAATATGCTTTTAAAATTACTGATTACAATTTTTTGCAATTTAATAATTATAAATAAATTTTCAATCTCAAATTCCACCTTTTGTGTGAAACATCTTTCATAATAAAAGCCAGAAAAAACATTAACATAATCTCAAAAAGAATGCTGTTAATATATAGGTTTTTATATGCGATGTATTTAGAAATTAATGCTGTATGTAATGAATCATACATGAGTTTCTGCAGTTAAGGTGAAAGATCAGTTGTTTTATTTGAACAGTTTTATTTGAATATAATATATTTTTTTTATTTTGGCTTCAAAGCCAAGAAAGAAGTTGGTTTATAATACTTTTTGCAATGTTACAAATATCTCGTCCATTCATTCTTTCCTTCTTCTATAAATTATTTCTTATTATTGTCTTACCGTTATTTATTCCATTTCTCTATGTTTCCACATCTAATCTGCGCTATTAACTTTAGCCTTTCGCTCCTAACTTCTTTATTCAGGTACTCCGGTATCACTAACATCCTAAATATATTTGTATTTTTTGTTAGTACAGTAAAACCTTGGTAATCCTAATCTTAAGGGAAGAATTTAAATCTTCTATGAAGATTTCCACTTACCAAAATTTTGATAGGAGCATATTGCCTTTTGCAATGAAGAAGAGAATGACATTGGTGATTTTCCCTGCTCTCTTGCCTCCTTTTAAAAAAGTATGCATTTTTGCGCTTGAGTTTGATAAAATTTTAGTTTTTGTTACTAAAAAAGAAAAACTTCTATGATGTAGTATGCATCCATGAGGAGCGTAAGAGGATATAACTTCATAATTTTTAAATGTTTTGGTTTTAACTTTGTTTGGTAAAATGATTCTTTAGGAAGACCAGTGTCTTAATAACGTCTTAATACTCAATCGGCTGCAAATTTTTGTAATAGTGTTTCCTAAAACACAAAAACTCTTTTGCAAGATATTGATGTTGGTCTATATAGTCAATAAAGCATTGCATAAAATATCCATATTGTTACTTCTCTTTCCTTCCTTTCCTTCAACGTTTTAAAACTCTTTGTCTATATCGAATCTGCATTTGATTTGTTTTAATTCATTCTAACTTTTGATGCTGTTTTGTAAGTTTTCATATTCTTTTATTTCATCTGTTTTTATTTCACTCTCCGATTCTGATTCACAATTAACAATTTGATCTTCATTTCTTTCTTTCTCAATGAACAATCTTCTAAATAGCTGTTTTGCATAATTTTTCACTACATGTTTGGATGAATAACTCAAAATTCATTTGTATGGAGATATAATCACCAATGTAAAAATACAAAGAATGATAAAATGTTTTTATTTCTCCGTTTCTCAATTTCACTTTTTACTACTTCTAATAAATTTAGTGGCAGTTTAGTATTTATGTATTTTAGTTTACTGAAAACATAGAATTGTTCCTTCTGTAGTCATTAAATTAGCACTTTCTTTACTTAGTTCCTGAACTGTTAACACTGTTGGCTCTAGAACAATTAATATATGATTCTACACACAATATAATTACAGTTAATATAATAAGAACAGTAATGTGATTTTTGGCAAAACATTGCAAACGAAGATCGATTAATTTTTTATTTATGCAATCAATTAATTTTGAAAATCTATTTATAGTTGATGCAAATGTATTCCAACGAGTTCTTACATTCAAAATTAGTCTTAAGTTTTTTTCTTCCTTTTTGTCTTACCTGTTTTAACATGTTTTGAAATGTTTGACGGCCGCTGTCCCGTATACGTCACTTCGCTTCGACGTGTCATCTGTTGTTGGTCGCTGTTACCTTTTCGTGACCCCAGGTCTTTATCCTTTTAGTTTGTTTAATCGATACTTACACCTTAGACAAATGATTCCTATATTCGAAAGTGTTCTATTGAAGTGAAATGATTTCTAAATGCACTGAGAAGCGGCAGTTTGCAAGTCTAATGTTCTAGTAATAACGAATAGTCAGAAAATGATTATAATATCTGTAACTGTATGGATCAATCAGAACATAAATAAATAAACTCATATATGCATAAGTGCACAAAATAAATTAGGGCAACACGGCAAAAATTCAATAATGATGATGCATTCAATGCAATTTTCTTAAAAAGTGTCATAATTATACTAATAAATATAATAATAATAATGATATACTAAGCGAAAAATGCCGACGATTGGCAATAAGATCTACGCGAAACGTGTGGTTGTTGAAGTGTTAACAGGATTTCAGGTCGAACTGATAAATTTTAAAAAATTTGGTTAATTTTCGCATTGCGTTTAATACAGGTTTTATATAGCAAAGTAATGCATAATTATCAGAACTTTCTTCGTCTATTAGATTTTAGGTTAAGGCGTTCTAATTTTGGAAGAATTTACATATAAGAACTATATCGGGGTTTTTGCCTCAGTTCTTTTGTTTTCGGTCTTTTTCTTGCGTTTGTTTTTCTAATATACTGGTGGTAGCCAACGGCTTCGTTCGGCAATTTTCGGCTTTGTTGACTCCGATGTTATCGCCCAATCGGCAAACTTCGCACGGCCATTGTTCTTCTACGGGGCGTCTCTCTATCATAGCGAACAACGGCGGCTGCTAATTGTTTACGCTTCTATGTCCGCCGTTAACCTTCTGTACATTAGCCGTTCAAACGGTTTTGACCTCTGTGTTCAAAAGAATCACAAAAGCACGCAATATAAATCGACGAGCCGCGTTCGGCTGCGTTATTGTTAAATTACTCAGCCTTTCGACAAATTACTTGGTTTTCGCAAATTTACTTAAGAAGATTTAAGTGCGTGTTCGCCTTCATTCTTTTGTAGTCTATAATACCTTAACTTTGAACCGTAAGTCTTGCTCGATTCACCATTATTTCTAATTTCATAGTTTTGTTGATATTTCTCGGTAACGAGCACGATTTTTTCCCTTTTATAATATTTTCTGGTGTAAAAAATCGGCACTCGCTGAAGTTACCGGAATACATAGAAACTAGAAGCTTTCTGGCTAATCGCGAAAATTTTGAAAGTTATTACTTCGTCACGATTGCTACCAATTTACGTGGTCAAGATTATGTCCAATTCCTGATTTATCTCCAACTCGGTAAGTGATGTATCTTCAGTATTCTGTGTTGAGTGTTGAGTAACAAAATCTAAAGCTGTTTCTCTTAAATTTGTTTCATTTCGCGAAGAAACCGCTGTATCATGTAGCATATTATTTACTTCTTACCGTATTTCATATCGACATACAGTTACTCATATTACTATACTATCTTTATAATTATTTCTATCTTTAAAATTATAGGTATCTAAAATTATAGGTATTAAAAATTTATAGTTATTGCTGCCTGTAAGAGGAAATTTAGATATTATACACTAGACTCCTATATAAAGCGAATTCCTATTATGTGCTAAATTGCAATATACAGGATTTAGGAATTAAATTTGCTTTATCTCAACATTAGATTGTTTTCTTCATCATCACCAGCTACTTATGTGTTTTCTTAAGTACATACCGGTTATCTTGTTGGTGGCGTGGTTGCTATTAATATTGTATTTGATAAAAAGGATGAGTGAAAGTTGGCTCACCAATGATCACGTTACGAAAAATTAAGATATTAATATTTTATCGCATGCCCGTTTTGTTTAACGACCTGAAGTAACAATTTGGGCATATTAAAAAAAATTTTTTGTAGATATTCTGAAGAACTAGTTGCCCATTCTTCTTTTAGTCTCGTTCGCAATTCAAATTTTGAATTTATTGGAAATTCTCTAGCTTCTCCTTTGGTCTAATCGAACCCATAGATTCTCTATGGGATTCGAGTCCAGAGATTACAGAGGTGGATGTAAAACTTTAGGACAATTATTCAAATTGTATAACAAATATTTGTATAACAAACAATTGTATAACAAATATTCCTGTACTATTCTCGCTTTATGTTTTATATCGTTGTCCTGATAAAATTTGAAAGTACTTTGTATTCTCATATTGTTTGTACTTTTTAGCAGATTGTTTTTTAGAAGGTCTAAATATTTATTCTTATCTAATATATGTTGGATAAACACCAGTTCATCCACACCGACGTTCGAAATCCGCCCCATATTCTTCTTGCTACACGACAATTTAAGCTATTGCATCTGATTATTCCGCGTGCTGTTTCAGCACTGACTTTTTTTCCTAATTCCATGACAAATTTCTGAGGCCAATTGTGTTTCGCTACAATGCGAATTTTATTTAACTTTCCATATTATTCTTCTTACCACCTCTTCATAAAAAATTTGATTTGTTTCTTTCTGTTTCTTAACTTCAGTACGGTCTTCTTCTTTATATCTCTTACCTCTTTGTGATGGCTCTAATTGTGCAATTTCATAATAACTTTTACTTTTTTCTCTATGAAAAATAACAAGTTGTCTATTACTAAAACTGCTATTCTGTACTTTTCGTAGCGTGTCAGATTTTGAATATTAGCACTGAAATATAGCTTTGTATTGAGATAGAGTTATATTGTAGCAGTTTGTATATAAAACAAATCTATTTTGCACTTTACCTTTTTTCGAGGACTACTAGATTACACAACATACAATACAAACATTAATGTAACATGAAAATGTGACAATTTTTATTCTTTAAAAAGTAATATATAATTAAATGTTATTGTTAGATTGGAATAGTTTATATATTTTTAATCTACAATAGTTTATTCTTTCGTAAAATAAACAATATAATATTTGAATCATTCCCGCTTACACACGGCAATAATTACAAAAATAGTATGGTGTCCATTATTAATGTGTGTAACTGTATAAAATCTAAAGCTGTTTCTCTTAAATTTGTTTTATTTTGCGAAGAAGTCGCTGTATCATGTAGCATCTTATTTACTTTCTCTCGTATTTCATATCGACATATTTCTATTTTAAAGTCGAAGTTCTTACAATGAAACATAAATACAGTATTTTTTGCATAATCGATAGAAAATCGGGGTTGTAAAAATCGATTATCGTGTATGATTGCATATAATAAATACGGTTCGCCATTTTGATGGACTCAGAAAAATACAGCGCGAGTAAAAGAGAAAAATGTTCGGGAATGGGCTTGATGAAAAGAAACATGTCGGCTAAGCAATGTTTCCAACAACGGAACTTGTTTATTTCCAAGTTTTATTGAATAAAACTTTGACCAATGTAATTATGAAGCTTTTCTGATTAAAACAAGACCAAACACAATGTAATTAAAGAGCATATTTTCTTATTTAATGATATAAACTTACTTACATAATGACATAGTAGCAATAATTAAAGAATTAGAAATTTAAAGATTGTTATCATTTTGAAAAAATCTAATATATACATTGATAAAAGTACGGTTTCAAGGAAATAAAAAATAAAGAAATATCATCATTGTTTCACGAATAATCAATATTTTCATGTTAATGTTACGAACATGTTAGCTTTTGTGTTACAAAATATGCGAATTAATCCGAGTACTCAATTTAATTACCCGATTAATTTTATTTACTATTATCTACTATTTACTATTATTTAGTAAATTAATTTAAAACTTGGATAAATAATTTACTTGTCGGATAGTCGAGTATACGAGTATTCGGGTTGGAAAACTTACGTATAATGTGATTTTTTCCTGGAAGCATCTGAATATCCTAAAATGAATGAAAAATACGAAAAGAAAACTGTCAAAGCACACTCTATTATAAGTAAGTAGTCATCTATGAATTGAAAAGCTATAGCTGTTCATCCTCATAGCAAAAATGATAATTATAATTTTAACACTTAATATGTATTAATTTGATCTTTAATTTCATTTTAGTTTTTAAAATACAGCAAAAGTAAATTTTCAGTTATTCAGAAAATTTAAATTTTCAGTTATTGTTATTTACATATATGCAGGTTCTCACTCATAAGAAAATCATTGAAATCAACCATCACACTTCATTATTTTTAGCAGATTTTGCTAAATGAATTAATTCCTTAGAAATAATAAAGTGTGTAGCCGATGAATGTGTGAATTTTCCTTTTGTCAAAGGAACTCCATTCGTCGACGGATTTTGTAACTGATCTTTTATTTTAGTTTTATTTATTTTTATTGCTGGATGCTGGTGGCTGCTGATAAATGAGGTAGGCTTTAACTAATTTTTTTTACATTGGCAAATATTTGTTTTTGTTTTATATTTTTCATTTTAAAAACGTTACTGCAAAAAGCCACGAGTTCTTGATCATTCTCTAATGTTTCTGTGGCTCTGAATATTTATTCGCATTGTCCTTTAAACTTTCTTCCAAAGTTTTCAAATATTTCATCTTATTCAAAACCCCATCGATTGATACGAGATTTCCAACGTTATTTGCCTGCCATGCAATCCGATGCCATCGCTGATCTACCATCATATTTTACCGTGGTACATAGATTCTTTGAATTTAATTCTGTATTTTATTCCTCTATACAGATTTACGAACGTAACTTTCAAAAATGTCAAATTTATTTTCATACAACAACAGATACTGTGGAGAAAAATACCGTACTCCAGTGAGGATTATCTTTGTAAGTAGATTCATTAGCATATTCTAAATGTAATATTTTATTCTTCCTACTGTTATGCCGCGACTTCTCAGCAGAGGTAGTTTGAAAAATGTGAAGATTCTTCGTAAGAAATCTACGACATTTCTTAGAGACAGAGTCCCTGTCAAAGTGGTTCAGAATTTCGAAGACAAATGTTAAGAACTTGGGTTTTCGGATGTGTATTCTTAACAAACTTGGTACGGATGAATGAACGAACGAATTATCGCATTTACGAACTAACGAACTCCTGGCGACCTCACTAGTGGTAACTTTATATCAACGTTCGCTATCTGTTTTTGGGACAACAGCTGGTAACAGAGTTGGTGTTTTACTAGCCTTGCGAAACGCTACTAACTCCAGTGCTTTGGAACTAGGTTAAAAATGTGCCGGTACTGTGGTATAAGGAGTTCCCAGGTTAGCGATTCTTTCCAGCATTACATAACATTATTAATAAACGGTCTTTTTCTCGCAAGTCGTACATTTAAATCGCGTT